GGCTGCCTGGGCACCTCTGTAGTACATTGGAGCCAGACTGTGGTAGCGCTCCTGACCAGCTGTGTCCCAGATTTCAAACTTGACTGTTGTGTCGTCCAAACATACTGTCTGAGTCAGAAAGGCAGCTGCAGGGGCACAAAGCAGAGGAATCAATGACAGTTGAACTACACAACACAACACAACACAACACAACACAACACAACACAACACAACACAACACAACACAACACAACACAGAGTGTGCTTCTGTGAAGGTAAAACTTTAAGATCAATGCTAGACAGACACACACGCACGCACGCACGCACGCACACACACAGAGGAGGATTATTTGGTCGACTTGGTCCACATTTCCCAATTTGGAAAATGGGGCCCCAGTAATATCAAACATGTTTTATACTGAACATCCAATATCTGGATGGGTGTTGAGGCATCAAGTATTTACACAAACACATATTTAACCTTTATTTACTCCAGGGTGCTGGTTCCTGTTCACACTGAGTCAGTTACACACACACCTGGAAGCTGCCCAGTACAACCTCACTCTGATCGTTTTGGGGATCATTCTAACAAAGGGTCACAAACCTTTATGCTGTCACTGTCCACTGACCAGTGTTTCCTCTATGGTGATTTTGGAGCGGCGGCTCGCCGCTGTTAAATTTCTGCCGCTACGGTATCAGAAATGGGGCAGATGCACAATGTAGTCACGGTTGCCTTTTAAATGATCCAGCCGGCATAATGCACCCCCGTTGGCTGCCGCTCACATTGCAATTTAACAACAAGTAGAACTATTCAGAGGTTATTGGGGCTGTCCAGTTCAACTCCACATACTGTTGTGTTGATGTAGCTTATTGTCAAAAGTGTTTCTTAAGTCTACTATTAAATAACAGCTCCACCAAAAACGTCACTGCGGTGGGTCCGTTTTAATTGGACAACGTTCAACCAGTCCCTCCAGAAAAACGCGATAACGCAATAGCATAATCAGCCAAAGTTGCGTTTACTTCACACAAGAGCAGTCATTTTCCCCTGTTGCCATGGGGTTGTTCGGACAGGCCTGCCCCCATTGCTAAAAAAGATCCTAGAGGAAACACTGACTAACTGACTGCATCTCTCTAGTTTGGATTTACGAAGACTCTCTTTTTATGATCTGTCTGTCACTTTACTTTACATATTAATACACATAACTCATACTGGACTGATTACCTCAGTTCTAACTTTAATTGTACTTTTGCCTTAGTTGTGCCTACTCTGCCACTGTGAGCATATTTACTTTCTGTGATCAGTGCTGTCTATGATCTGTGATCGGTGCTGTCTATGATCTGTGATCGGTGCTGTCTATGATCTGTGATCGGTGCTGTTTTTAGATTTCACAGATCTACCTGTGTTTTTTTTTTTTTAACCTAAGGTGAGTCTGAAAATAGCAATGCAATGAAATGGATAGAGTTTAATATCACCATACAATATCCAGGAAGCAGTATGCTTGCCAAAGGGCAATAAATTAAAAATTATGCAGATGATAACAGACTGCGATGACCTGACATAAGCGGTCAGTACCAGGAACTAGGGACAGATGTTTGGGAATTCAGCTCACTCCTACAGTTCCCTAGGGACTTTCTCTCTCTCTCACAATTCTCCCTTCTGAGTCTAAAACTAAAACCTCATCTCATTATCCCTCCTTCTCCTCAACTGAATCCTGTATTGTGTGCCATCATGCTCTATTTATCATGTTAAACAACTTTTCTAATATTCCCTATACTCTGACACCACAATGCTGATTTTAATACATTTAGTCTAGACATTTAATAATCTGTTAACCTACTGGGAACTTTTACTATTAGTGTGTACACTTATGATGATGATGTAGATATTTAATCATATTTGTTTCACTGAGTGATTAACTGCAAGCCTCTCCCTAGTAATAAGGTAAGTACAGTATGTCAGTAAGTCTGTCTACGTCATGGCCTTATGAAGATACATACCTCCGATTGTGCTCTCCTGGAATTCGTGAAACTGTCCCTTGACGAAACGAAGTACAAGACTTGACTTCCCCACAGCTGACTCTCCTAAAAGCACAAGTTTGAACTGGCAGATCTTGTTGCCTGCGTTTGGCCCATTGGGTCGTGAAGCTCCGCCTCTACTTGCCATGTCACACTGTCCGGTCTCTTCCTCTGGACGCTGACGTACTGTGAAAGACTGTAGAAAATACCTGAGCAGGAGAGAGAAAAGAAAGTGTCACCGTCTAATATAAACTCTAAATGATTTTAACTGCGTATATTGTTTAGCTGTAGCTTTTGGTAGCACACATCATTGGTACAAAGTTATTTTGTGCAACCCTATTTTAACAATAAGGTTTTTTGTGGAAACAAATATGCAGAAGGCTTGATAGAGAAAAGCTTCTGCTTAACTTTGTAGGTTTGTTATAAAGAAGAAGAGTCCTGTCCAGGTGTGAAGACGATCAACGACCTTCAGCACTTTTCCCAAATTGTGTTTATGAGCAACTCGAAAACTCAAAATGTCTCTAAATAAAACGTATGATAGCTGGTTAATGTTGTAGTTTTTCTTATAACTTAGAAAGGTGGAAATATAATAATAATAAAAATACAATTTCCTCCATTGGGGTGCATGCTTTTCAGAAATAATGGACTAAAAAGCCAGGTAGCCTGTAAGAAACGCTTACACTCACATTGCAACACTTTGTTTGTGAAATTGGCTAAACAATCAGGAATTTAAGGTGTTACAGTTTTATGCTGTTCGAACCCGGTGGCCCAGAATACAATGTGATACAATGACCTTTTAGGGGAATTTACTGTCGTTCATTACACACAGTATCCAACAATAGTTTCACATTACTCGCTCTTCAAACAACAGCTGGTTGCTTGCCATAACTAGCTGAGCAAACATGTGTACCAGGTATAGCCAAAGCATAACCAGGGTTGCGTGCAGAGACTGTAGTGAGAGTGCAATTTGCTGTCTGGTCTTTTTTACATTTTGGCAAACTGATGACGAGCACCCCCCCCCCTGAACTTCTGCTTCCACAGCCGCACACCAACCTGTTCACTAAACCTGAGCGAATCTAACTGCAGCTTCAACACAGGACACACAAACAAGTTGATCAACTGGTGTAGCTGTGTGCAAATCTGTGACAACAAACCTCTGGCAACTCCTCCTTAAAGCGTTTTTTTAAAGTTATGTGAGACAGACTGTTACAAAGGGGATTAGTATGACTCGGGTCTGGGCACATATGTGGGGAAATGTTTCAGGGTTAACTTACAGTTTTCCTTTTCGGCTGCTCTGGAGAGTTTAAGGGAGAATAACAACAACAAGACATTCATCATGACCACCAAGGCAAGTGAACACACCGCAGCATCAGTCCAAAAATAATTACAACTTCGTCCAAATCGCGTTACGACACAGAGATAACCACAAATAACCTGTAATGTTGTTGTTGTTGTTGTTGTTGTTGTTGACTGGCTGCTACCCCCCCCTCCCACAGAGTGTGTAGCGTTAGTGTTCAACCTGGGGAAGTGTACGTACACACTTCATTTACACAACGTTTAGAGAAATGCCACACAAACACAGATGATGCAGCTCTGGGTGTGTGCAGCGAGTGACAGCTAGCTAACCGTAGCTGCATGACGTTCATTTAGTGACCCGCCTCATCGATCGGTGGGCCCCCAACAACAAACAACAACAACAACATTAAAACAATAAAATAACACTAATACTCGGCTAACATGACGACTGATTACTAACCAACCCGCTTGGCCCTTCCAGTGTCTCTGGGCTAGCTACCGTTAGCTCGCCGCGGGCTAACGCTGCTGATCGGGAGGAGCCATTAGCAACAAAAAAAAAAAAAGCTAGCTGGCTAATATCAGCTTATACTCACCTCCTAAAAGAAACAGGAAGCTCGATGATGTGATTGGTGTTCACCGGGTGGGGTATCTGTAGCGGCTCCTCACGGTGTGTCGAGTCTCCAGCCAGCTACAGCAGCGTTATCTCTCATAAAGCTCCGCGATGTCCCTCTCCCACTTCTCTCAACTTCCCTTTTCGCATTGTACGGACGATGATGACAGATCGTATGACAGCCCGCCTACGTATCAGCCCCGACGGACCAATCACAGCACACCATTTATTCCCAGTTTACTGGTATGGGTTGTTTTTTTTTTCCTTCCAAAATAAAATACCAAACATGCCAGTTAAAAGCGTATTTATGTTTATTTATTATAATTTAAAATAGTATTGGAGGCGTATATCGCTGCCCGGTATGTATTAACAGGTCACACACACATATTAAATAATAAAATAAAAAGTTTTCACTTATTTGAATTAGTGTTTTTATATTACTGCTTTTCTTCTTTTTTTTTTTTACTTTAAAATTATTTTTTCTCTCTCTTACTAATCTGTGTATACCTATATTTTACACTCGCTTATGCCAATAAAGCCCCTTTTGAATTTTAATTATATAATAAGAGAATAAAAAAGGGGATTTTGAACTATAATACTCATGGGTAAAATAATTTTAAAAATTAATAAATTAAATTAAATATAAAGAAGTACAAAACTTACTTCTATCTCTAACGTTATATTAATGTACATACTTAGACTCTTATTTTCTAAATTATATTTACTGTTTATATTTTTATTTTATAAGTGTATACCGATATATTTATACACAGATCTATTTCAAAATATACTGTAAGATACAGTAATATAATTATAATTTATTTTTAATGAAAATTAAAGCTGCTTTACACCTTGAGCAGCTGTAACGGACAAAATGTCCCCCCCGAAGATCAATAATAATAATAAGTCATTCTGCTTCTGACTCTGAAAACGATTATTATAGTTTTTAGTCACGCAAATGTCTCACCTAACACCCCCATTAGTGCACATTATTTCTCATTATATAAAAGTATATAAAAATAAAAATACCCTGTAACATACTGTCAGTGCCTGTAACGGCATCTTGAATGTAACCGACCGCCGTTGCCAGGCAACGGAACTCAAACAGGCTCAACGTCCAACGGAAGAATGCGGTGCAGCTTAACGATAGCTAGAAAGTTGTTTTAAAACTTATGTTTTCCCCCAGGTAACAGAAAGGACGAACGATAAAAGATTTAAAAACAATAATAATAGTAATAAAGATACCAGGGTTGCGGTTAAGATGAATATAAATGAGGGGAATGCTGGTTACCAACTGAAATATAAGGTTAGAGAAACATGTCCAAACATACCGAAGGTGAGTCAACTAACTTCTTCCTACTGTGTTAAATGTGTTTTAGTTTAATAATAATAATAAACCGTCGTCTTCTTTTTACACCAGGCAGGGAAACTGATACCTGAGGGAGACAGGGCTGAGAGCTGCTTACAAGAAGTGCCAAGGGTAAGTCTAGTTTTTTTTTTTTTTTTATGTGTGATGCTAATTAATAGTCAGGTGCTTACAAAATGCCTTTTTCACAGCAGCTATTTTAACATGAAATAATTGGGTGAACACAGCAATTATACTGATTAAGGTCCAGTGAGCACAATAGCAGCACCATGCACTCTGTTAGAGTTAAATGCAACACAACCTTAATTGGTATAATAATAATAATAATAACACACCTGTGTTTCCCCTCCTATTTAACATCACAATAGCTGCTGTGAAAAAGGCTCCAATGGATCTTTATCTATAGAGAGCATTCATATATTTATATATATAATAACAATTTTATCTCTGGGTGGCACAAATTGAAGCACAAATATAATTTGAAGCAGCAGACAGCTTTTAAAATTCTCAAGATGCCATGTTCTCTCTTTCTTTCTCTCTTTCTCTTTCTCTCTGTCTGATATCGTATGTCAACATTTTTACATTTCAGCCTCCAACCCCGCCTGTGGTTAGGAAATACCGCAACAGCATCCGTCCAGAACCAGGAGCTATCAGAGTGCACCAGGGGAAGGCAAATGATCCAGATGTCGCCAGCACCCTTGTTCATGGCATCAGAACCAAATCGTCTCTCACTGTGAGTACCACACATGCGCACACACACCTCCTTGTGGGTTGAAGGGGCAATAAAGAGGGTTTTTTTTTACTGCCCCAGATTTGGTGGGTTAATAATTTATTATTCTCCCTAGTGATGAGATTTATTGCTTACGCCTTACACCCAGAAAATGGATATAAGTTGTTCATTTTAATTCCAACAGGGTCAAAGCTTGGTAAATCCTCCCCAAAAGACCTTGTTCCAAAAGAAGTTACAAGACCTGAGTGAAGCACGGTACGCCTCCAGTCGAAAAGCACCGGTGGGCAGGTCACATGATCCGCATGTTACACTTCCCAGCTGGTGTAACGACAAAACTACGTATGGTGTGAAAATGGTTCGAGGTATATGTATGGTCAAAGAATATAGGTTTAAGTCAAATGCTGTAACGTCAACATGCAAATATTCATCTACGCTTATAAAAGAAAGTCAATTCTTCCCTTTTTTTTTCCAGGGTTGGATGTGCGTGAGATTATCAACCCTTCAAAAAAATCCGAGGAGGTGGAGACAGAAGCTCAGGAGGGACACGAGGCTTACATTCGTAGCCACAACGCCTATTTTGTTGGTATGAAGAATAGAAACAAATGTATATTACTCATAATGCTGTTACTGTTTCTACCAACAATCAACCCCTCAGTCTTGATTATTCTGAAATGTGACGTCCAACTTCCACAACGATAAAATCACCTTGCTTCACTCCAGGTGAGCGGATCGACAGGAAGTACAACTTGAGTCACTACAGTAAAGACAACAGGTTTGGGATCCTCACACCTCATTTCAATGATGGCCGTAATCTTGGCAAAACTCTCCACTGGCTGGGGGAGACACAGAAGTAAGTGCTGCAATAAGTGGGCACAAGTGTTGTATTGTTAACTTCCGTAACACTATGTATTTATTCAGTGTATAACTAACTTTAGGGGGAACAAATAATGACAACATTTTGCCGTAGGTTTTACAATCCAAATACAGTTTGGAAGAGGTCTGGGAACAGGGAAAAGATGGCGTTGCAACTTGACAAAACAAACATTAGGTAAGTTTCTGTCACACGTCTTCTGATCAGTTCTGTGAACTCTGACTATAATTTACTGATTATTTACTGTTTAACTTCTTTCTCTCATTATAAATTCATCTTTTCAGGAGAGGAAATACCTTGAATGTTCCACCGGATCGCACCTTTGGAATTCTCTTGACGGCAGATAAATTTGGTAGAGTTTATGCAAAAAAAACGTCTTTCCTGGATTAAAAATTGGATTGTGTATCAGCAGATATTGTGCTGAATGACTGTGCTTGTTTCCTGCACAGGGGTTGGAGAAGTAATCCACTCCACGGAGCCAGGTCAGTATGTGAGAGGCCGAGACCGTCAGCGCAGTCTGATCAACGCAGTGCAACACCACCTCAAGAAGGTCAACTTTCACCACTTCCCCTCCCTGCTGCAGGCGTTCAGACATTACGACAAGGTACGACTGGAATCATGGCTGGGTGACACAACACCCCGTTGCTGACCTATGCTTTCAATCATCACATTTAAAGTAACCTGAAAAAAATACAGTGTTATTTCCACCCAAATCTCTTTTTTTTCTTTTTTTTTTTACATCAAAGAGTAATCAAAGAAATTCCAGCACAGTCCTTTCCCACAGTGGACATTCATTTTTAGTGCAGGTGTAATGAATGACATTATTAAATGCTGCTTTCCATTTAGGCCCCGGCATCATTCATTCATCTTATTGGTTACACCTGTGTTTGACAAGCCAGTTTAAGAGTTTGAGATAAGGCCAGGGTTGTGACACTGGTGTTAAGATGTGATTAAGTAACAATACTAATATAATTCTCCTCTCGCTGTCTCACACTCGTAAAAACCACAGAGCGATTGTTGAGCCTTTTCCTTTCTATCTCTTTATCTAAATCACTAGAAAGGCAAGGGGATGATTGACAAAGAGGACCTGCAGGCAGTGTGCCAACAGTTCCAACTGGGCGTGAGTGAGCCGGTCCTGGATGACCTGATGGACCACTGTGACACAGACAAGGACGGACTAATCAACTTCGTGGAATTTGCTAATTTCCTCAACTGGAAGGACAAGATGCCCATCAACAGTCGAGAGCAACGCATTATGATGAACGGTCAGTTTATTTTGCTGTAATGTATCACTTTATTTACTAAGATGCCACCGGATTGGTAAACTTAGACAGGAAAAAGCTTTTCCAGATCCATTCTCTTTCACATTCAGGTGATTTATGTTTTTGGTATTTTAGACAATAAAAGGCTTAAAAGCCGATGTTGACAGTTAAAGTGACTCAGTTGAGATTTAAGAGTGACGTGGAGGTTATGTGTGGAATCTAATCTCTCAACATTTTCTATTTATTTTGTCTCCTGCAGAGCGTCAGACCAACACAGCTCCAGCCAACATAGAGGGGAAGTCTTCATCAGAATCAGCGCAGCTTCCTGACTCTCAGGCATTGATTAAGCCCGAGGACCTGGAGCCTGTTGAGCCAGGAAGCTCTAAGAAGACTGTGAGGACCCTGAGGCGACTCAGGGCAGTTCCAGATCACTTCGTTACCTCCTCCTCCCTCATTGGGGTTGTCAGTGATGGTCCGCTCACATCAAGTAAGTCAGAAATAGAGTTTGAGGATTTCATCAGCTTCTGACGTTTTATGAGCCCTAATTTAACATATTTTACATATTAATTTCAGTTAACTCCCATCACCTAAACATCCTTTACTCATCCTGTGGTCTCTCTTTACATAGACAGCCGCGCCTACGGCGTCCCGTCTGTGCGCTCCGACCTCCCACCTCCACGCATAAAGAGAGTCAGTGACACTAACAACTACGGTGATATGTCCACCGCTGGAGATCTTCTGCATCCATCAGTTCATGCTATTCAGGGTGTTCACGAGGAACATTTCTTCTGTCCTCGCACCAAGAAGGAGGTACGCACTGTGCACCAGAAGTTTTACCGTGAGGGATGGACCCACATCGAATTTGAAAATGATCATGGAAGATAATTTTATAAATATTTTAATGCAGTTCAGCAAATATCAGTTTTAAACACGACCTGTGTATATTTTTAAATTTGTGCATTTGCACCTGTTTTTGAAAAACAGCATTATGTTCACAGTTGAATGCATGGTTGAGTACTTCAGAAAAGCTTAATATACAAGACAATCTTTCCGGTTTTGTGCTCTATTAGGTATTCAAAAAGCCTCTGAATTACTTTGACTTCATTTAAATTTCAATTCATACTCAGTCAAATCAGGTATGAGACATTTTTAAACCGGATGAGCCCTACAGGTCAGTACTTTGATCTCTGTGATCCCTCTCTGTTTAACTCTCATTCTTTTCTGTTTGGTGGTCATCTGTTCTTTGAGTTTATTCAACTTTTCCACCACAAGCCTGTTTCATAATCATTAGTAATGAAAAGATTGGTCGTTATTAGTGTCCTGCCGCTGCAGTGTGGCTACATAAACTTAACAGTAATAACTTGTGTTTTAATGAAATATGTTTTTTTAAAGTGATACTCGTCCTCCTCTTCACAGATTGCAGAGATCTTCAGGAATGTGGGTGTGAATATTTCTGAAGAGATGTTCGAGGAGACCTGGAAGCTGGCGTCCATGAAGCACCCGGCCGGGGAGGTTTGTGTCGAGGCTTTCCGTAACGTACTCAAGGAAATAAAAGCAATGTAACACTCGAGAGGTTTTAATCGGCACAGTATTTCCTCATCAGTCAATATTTCTCTCACAGCTAGGAGGACACTTTTGACATAATGAAGAATGGATTTCTGTGGCCCAAAGTGTCTGACAACAAGTCATATAGGAGTAAACAGTCATCTGAAGGGTGATTGGCTGTTACAAGGTTTTATGACACAAAAAAAGATGTTTGTTACACTACAATGCTCAGTAACCTCAAAGCAAAAAAAAGGTGTCTTTGTGTCTTTTGTATTTGCAAGTGGGACACCCTTTTTATATGTCTACAGTCGGGAATATAACACATTACTTGGTCATTACATTGTTCTTTGTGCCAGAAGTCTATTTGCTGGTAGGTGTCCTAATGAAATACTAAAAACATCCTCTGCATGTAATGTCCATTACTCTATTGCTATTATTCTGTTCAAATGACATAACCTGTTACTTTATCATGATCGTGGTTATGAATCTGTAGAACAATAAATACAGAGAGGGAACACTCCATAAATGAACCCCTTTTTGAATGGCTAATATCAGACTAATGTGTTTCATCATATAAGCCTTTATCTGAGCATCCTCTTGACCTAGTTTTTCGGACTCTTTTCCGAGTGTTACTGTTCCTGTCTTTTCGTGAATTAGCTGGAAGCAAGTGCGCAGTTCCCGGCAGAGCACACAACCAAAATAGGGTAACGTGAAGAGACACACTCTACCGGCTACACAGCTCTCAATGTATGGACGAACTGCTCCTTCAAGCTGTATCTCAATGGGAACAGCAACAAACAACATGTTCCAAGCAGCCATTAATGCATCATGAAGCACATTGTACACCTGTTCTGAGAATTTCCTACCAGGGGACATACTTGGGTGGGTTTTTTTCCTTTTTACATTTAGACCAACCCTCTTCTGATAACAACTAGCAGGGGGCACATCTGCATGCAAGGAACTGACAGAAACAGACATATTAGAGGTACAAAAGCAGAATGTGTTTATAATTATTATTAATGTTTACTGTGATTAATTTGGTTTGGAGATCCTAGGTAGGCAGTTTAAGTCTTGTTTTGACTTGAGCTGTCTTTGTTCTGGCCCGAATATTAAGGCTAGTTTCTCTCCCTGCACAACAAACAATATACACTCATTTGAAAAGGCTTTGTATTGCTGTCAAGTCAAAGTATTCAGTAGTCAACACATGGTACACTATTAATACCACCACAAATTAGGAGATAAACATGTCAGCAAACAAAAGATGGTTTTTTCCCCCCTATTACATGTCTGTTTATAGAGAATCAATTTCTCTATTCAAATGAAAAATAGAATTTCATGCACAGAAACGGCTCATTTGTCGTGTCAACATGTCACCTTTCTTTAGTTGGAAGCAACATTTCATCTTTTGTTGGTTCACCTAAAATGCTGTGAAACGTTGTTAAATCTTTAGTTGATTGCTTTGGACTTAACAATAACAGTCGGTGTGACCGTGGTGAAAGACCTGCGTAAACACTGAGAGGTGCATTCTCCGTACCTTATCATTTGTTCGGTCAGAGTATTAGATTTAATTTCTAAGCATATTTATCTGGGAATTGTATTAATCAACCCTAAAATGGGAATTTGACAGAGATAGCACAATTAATTTATGGTTCCCTGGAGATGAGACACACACGTAGACATACAGACACGCAGAGTCTCTCAAAGAGGTACGAGGAATTGTTTGCGATCTGTTTCGCTAACAAGATTAATGAAAAAAGGTTGGCACGCAGCCTCAACTGATCTACACGTCAGAACATTACAAAACAGTAAAATAACTAAAAAACCATTAGCTTTTTGTATATTCACCACTTGCTTTTGTTTCCTTGTTAATTTCCATTAAACTGAGTGATGCACAGGCGTGGTAAATTGTTTAATGTGCTCTCACCATATCCATGAGCATATTGACATGTGCTAAGCTAACCGCACTCATTTAATCTCATTACGACTCGGCGAGATGCTCAACTGGAACCAAAAAAAAAAAAAACCCCCCACGCAAACTTCCACAGACCACATATTACTATGCATCAAAAATTAGAATAATCCTCAGCGTATTTCATTATGCATGAATTAGCGGTCGCTAATGACAGAATCCTCTCTGTTTGTCAGATATGTTGTCAACATTAATAATATCGTGGCAGGCTTTAACAGAATGGGATGACACGCAGCATTCAAGAGCCTGTCAGACGTGATGTTTTTGACAAGTGACACGTTTCTGGCAATGACCGCGGGGCTCAGACGCAGGCTGCATTAGAGTTAGTTTAACGGGTGGTAGGATTTGTCGCTGTTGCTCGCAGCAATGCAGTACAACTATTTCCACTTTGGTACAAGACTCGTGTTGTGATCTCCTGTTGATCCATAAAGCGCTTTCTTGACATCAATGTACCAGACAGCACCTTCCTGCTTACTGTGGAGAATTGATTATCTTGTTGCCTGTTGCTTTTTATCACAAGTACCGCCAACACTTATATATTTGGTCCCTTATATGTTTCATGAATCACATGTGGAGAATTCAAAAGGACTTCTCCTTTAATGTTAATATTGTGTCGGTTGTTACATCAGCCTGTTGATGTTGAGTTCAGAAACTGTTGAAAAAGTTAGTAGACTGTACAGAAATTGTTATTTTTCATCCTAACAAAAAGATAAAAACTAATATGATTGATACTACTATTGTTATTGTTATTCTTTTGCTTTTACGTGACTCAAATCTGCTTTTGTCATGACAGTGTATACAGCTCAAATCACATAAAATCTGATCTTCCCAAATCTGATTCGGGCCACGTTCATATGTGGTACAGATCAGAGACAGATCAGATTGTTTGCAGTGTGACCTCAGTGTGAACAGTAAAATCTGAATTCATGTGACTTTTAAGTCAACAATCGTCATGTGGGTCACTTCAGGACCTGGACCTGTTCACACTGGAATCTGATATGGGCCACATTTAAAAAAAAAAAAACCCAAGAATTCAGAGCTACGGCTTGTTTACTTTTATTTGTGCCATGGTTCCTAAAGATGCATTTTCTCCATTTAAAGAGGGCCACAGCTCCGTCTCGGTACATGATTAAACACGCTGTAATGTTTTGTTCAGTCCCAGTTTATCAGTGCGATGTCAGAAAGCCATACTGTTGGTGTTGTGTAGAGGAGATTATTGATTGCAGACGATTTCAGGGATAAATTAAAGGCTCACGGATACAGTTTGGTGCTTTTATCAAGCAATTTATTGAGGCAACATATTGGTCTTGTGATCAACTTTCTGCTTCTTTCAGCTGAATCTGATGGTGGACAGACAATTTCTTGGTTGTCATCATGTGACTTACAGTACGTATAGAACTTTGGTCATGTGACACAGTGTCCATATACAGGATCCTGTTTTTACACGATCAAAGTGCTGTACTTACCGTAGGTCATGTGATGTGATGACCAACCAACTGAGAAAACGCCATTCATGGAGGCGGAGTGTGAGATGTGGTTGGAAGCTCTGGTTAGAGCTAGCACGTGGACCTGGAGTGAAGTTATTTGGCAGCACAACAGATATTTTTAGCAAAAAAAACAACAACAACAAAAAAAAACAGGTTAAAAGTCTTTTTCAAGTAACCTCATCACTCTGTTCACACTGCATTTAAACTAAAACACCTGGTGGTGATTCAGAGGAGTTGTACAGCATGTTAAATTGCTGGAGGGGGCTTTAAAAGGCATCTGCAGGTCTGAGGAAGACTTCAAGTAGGAAGGTGGGTTCACTTATAAAGCTCTGAGGTCTTCAGTTGTCTGTACAGCTCCAGTGTTACAGCTGTGGGTCCCGTTTCATGTGATCCTAATAGACAGTCAATCTATTCAACAATCAATCCGCTGCTCGCTTTGCCTGCGGTCCAGTTTAATTGTTGCCTTTTATGGATAGGTTAAATCAGCCAATCGCAGCTCCCTTGTTGTGTCCTGATGACTCAATCACTCAGCCAGTTTCCAGTGCCAGTGCCAAACGGTCGTGACCTTCCAGTCGGGAGAGGCTCCCCTCGTCAGCTCCCGGTGGAATCTGGATAGAAAAAGGGGGCAGATGTGTTTAACGGGAGCTAAGACAGTTTATAGTTTATTCAAAGTCCTGGAGGAAAATGCAGATTGACTAACACTCGACTCAACTCAAACTAAGTTCTGCTTCTTGTCTCACCTTGAAAACGACGAGGTGAGGATTCTGAAAATAACTTCTTCATCCTGCCTAACTGTCTGCTCGCTAGCCTTCGGGATAACAGGCTTTCTCGGAGAGATTCTAAGAGCTGAAACAATAGGAAAGAGAATCTGGCTAACTAGATAGGTGGGCATTAGGTAGAATAGCTACACCATGTGGTCCAGCAACTAACCGGATTACTGATTGGAAAAAGGAAAGAGGCTTTGACTGTTACATACACTGGGAGTGAAATTATTCCCCCTTTTACTTTCTGAATAACTGAAGTGATGCAGTGACAGAATTTCACATCACCAGAAGCGGATGTTTTACTTTTTGACGAGCCATCAAAGGTCCTTTTCATACGTGGAATAGTTAACATTGCTGGCCACAAAGAGCCACAATAAAGCTGCCACGGTATTTGGCAGCTGGTGTGTGAGACAGAGCCGTGGCACCGATGAGAACCACACTGAGTTAAATAGATATCAAGGGCACAAGAGTGCGTTTTGTTCTCTCGCAGGCTGAGAGCCCATTTTGAAGACGTTATGCGTGACTTTGGTTTGCTCACATGCTGCATGTGAAGCGCTTTACTGGATACTCAGTGTAGTGAAACAGCCAGTCTGATTATTACTGTACTTGTATGAGATTTTTTACATTTTATTTGGACTTCTTTTGCTCCAGTTGCACCACAACAGGAAAAAAGAAATGTTACATACTGGTCTAGAATAGTCTAAATTTTATGTTTCACTAAAATCCTATATTTTCTTTGTCCAAATGAGATAATTGACAGAGTTGTGGTGAAATTATGGAGTTCTCTTAAAAAGGTGATGAGAGGTGTGTTTAATCTTACTCATTGCATGTTTCTGCTGGAAGCTTTACGTTAATCTGATGCCATTTAATTTAGGCTTGTGCTATAAAAATGCATCCGACAGACCGACCTAATAAGACTTTGGTGACTTTTACGTTAAAGTGACTTTGGTGTTTATTCAAATATATAAGACTGACACAGAACTGCCATCACATTTACCTACAGCAACAAGGGGCATATTTAAAAGAGGGCTATTTAGTCACTACTTAAGCTTCACTGTGCTCTGACTGGCTCTGTGTCTGTTAGTGGAAATTTATGATAAAATATTTTGAGTTGTTGTTTTTGGATAAGTACGCCACGATGCCTCACCGTGAACTTACAGATGTATCAACAGCGAACGCAGCGTCTCTTACTCTAATTTGATATATTCTTCCAATCAGTACTTCTATTAATATTTGTTTTTTAAAAGTGTATTTGTGGCAGTCCTCCAGTGAAAAGAAAATATGTCACTTTACCGTTCCCCCCAAGTGAGGCATTAAATATTAGATGAACTCTCATCCACCCACACATGACACTTTGGAACATTTCTCCCAAATTATCCAATCCTCGTTTATTGGAAAAAAGATTTAACTCGCCACCGTCAGCTGTGGCTCTGTTACCCACCCGACAAAAAACAGACGTGCCATATGTTGGAAAGCCTGCAGGTAACTTTGAGCTTTTGCCAACATATAATTATCTCTCTAAGTAAATATTTGTACCTTTTTAATTGTGATTCAGCATGCTCTATATGGAGAAATAAACCAAATAGAGATTCTGGCGCTTAACGTCTGAGCAAATTAATGATCAAAAATTAGCTTTAAGCAAAAAAAAAAGAGTCAGCATAGACTGCATGAAATAGATTTGAACATGTCAAAGCTGAATGAGGGAAGATTTGATTGTAATCCGTACTTTTGGACGCACTGGCGTGTTTGTGATGTGCGCACTTGACAAGCTGAGTGCTTACTCATAGACCGCTGTCACTATTTTCTTCTGTGGGCCGCCATCTTCACTAGAGGCCACTTTGAAGATCCTGGTGCCTTCGGGGTCATCGGGGCCTTCGTTTGTGGTCAGGAGCCAAAACCTCATGACGACGTTGCAGAACTTCCTACCTGCAGGGGGAAAAAAAGAAAAACAGGAACCAGAGAGCATCCAACAGACGGGTTAGCAGATGAGACGGTTGTAAAATGAACGTATAGTCTTCACAATCACACCTGAGAGCTGGTGGTTATATCTACAACACCTCCTCTGACCTGCAGCCACAGCAGCTGCCTGAGGAAATGTACAGTGTCTCTGAGTTTGATATCAAAGTTCAGACTGTTTTGTGCCAATAAATATTTAAGTAAATGATAAACAAAAATAACTGTGAATCTCAGTGGAGTGGTCCACAGCAGCAGGTCCAAATGAGATGAGTAAAGCATCATCAGCCTGAAGATCTTTCATGACTTGGGCTTCCTAATTATGTAGTTTTAGTTTAATTTTCTGTTTTTCAGTCATGTGATGATCAATGGGAAAACTAACATAATATCTGAGGTGAAACATTAACATTAGGATCCATGTGTAAGACTGATCTGCTACTCGTTGCTCAGCAGGTACAACATGCAAGCTTCAGGAGATGTGAAGAAGTGCCTGCCCAATAACATATTAACAAATGGAGGCAAAAACTTGTTCTTTGCTAATTAGATTTTGAATTGAAATTGTGGATAATCTTGTTTGTAAGCTTTCTGATAATCAGAGAACACACACTGTTGGTTTCATTTTGAAGAAGATATCTGTATCTTTAGGTGGGATGTTGGTCTAAATGGATCCACTTAGAGGACCCTGTGTCTCCTCCTGGTTGATCAAACCAAGTTCTGACTTATATAGGTTAACGTGGGACAATAATGTGTTCAGTTTGAAAGGGGGTGAAGGCAGAAAGTGACCCTGATGTTTGTCTATTTAGATCCCCATAGTAGCTACTCTTCCTCAGGTCCCCATTCGGCTTTTTTTGACAGATTAATACTCACAATGAGACTCAATACAGTCACCTCTTCAAGAACAGCAAAATAAATAAAGTAAATAACAGAAAATCATGTTTCACACGAGTCCTTGAGTAAACAAAAACTCATTGCTCTATAACAAACCATTCTTTGTATTAAGATAATTCCACATACAGGCAACAGAACACAAACCTCCAATGACTGCAGAGTAGTCGTTGTCCTATAAGACGAACTACGACTGAGACGAATTGCACAGGACTCACCGTACTGATCAAAGACGACAGTCACGTCTTCCGGCAGCACGAATACGATATCATCCATCGCCACAGCTAGCTGCTGTCTCTGCGCGTCGGTGAGAGACCCGCACCTCTGCTCAACATATTCTATCATCTGAAAGGACAAAAGAGATCATCAGGAAAACCCAACTTCATCCCCGATATGTACAACAAGTGCAAGAGTTGTTACCTCCGTGGACACGATCCCCACCAGCCTGTGGTATCTGCCGCTGGACATCAAGCTGGAGACGTGAACCAAAGCCTGCGATGGACGGAGGAACAACAAGGTGGTTCATTCTCCTGCAACATGGTGGATGATGTGTCACTTCCTCCTATTTCCTTACCTGCGACTGTGTTGCTTCACATTCAAACCAGACTGAGAAGCTTTGTCTTTGTCTTAGAAAAGGCGGGTAAATAATTGCCCCCCCAAAAAAAAAAATCAAATACATATACAATGTTAGAACTCCGAAAAGTGTCTGAAATTTAGACAGAAATAGTCTTCTAACCTTTAAAAAAGGGGAATTATTTAATGAATTAATTCTCAATAACGTCAATTTAGGAGAAGCTTTCTATCACATCACTGGATCTTGAGTTGGAACTTCAGATTTCCACTTTCCAGAGCACTTTTAGGGACTTGAACCTCGAAAAAAAGAAAATATAAGCATCTACAAAGACATGACAACTAGCAAAAGCCCATCTGCTGATGAACATCATGCAATATGATCGAAAGCTCCAGAACAGCTACTAAACAGACCTTGAGGTGAGATACATTATCTTCATCTTTTATATTAATACACTATTATTAGGGGTGTACCGCGGTTCTCCCCGTTTTGATTATTATCTGATATTACATTAAGCAGACACGGCACAAATCTTACATTACGGAGCGTCAGTGAACGCCCCAATGCAGATGTCACCCACATGCGGCTCACGGGTGAGTTTATGAAAGGTGCTGCTGATGGAGAAAGTCAGCAGAGACACACACAGGGAGAGAGACAGACAGAAAGAGGCGGAGCATGGGGGCGAGTGAGCAGAGGTCCAGGTGTGTGTGTGCTGTGTGTGTGTGTGTGTGTGGGGAGAAGAGAAAGGGAGCAGTAGTAAATAAACAGTAAAATAAGGTGGAGAATGACCCAGAATAACCTACTGTCCATACAAACACTGTCTTAACGAGAGCTCAACAGTCCAGGGAGACAGCCCTAACTATTATATATTATATATATATATATATTTATACATTACTCTCATCTATCTCCTAATAACCTCCCTGTACTCTCATGTTTGACCTCTATGAAACTTCAGTAGTTCTCGTTTCATTTACATCTGTAGAATCACATTAAACTGTGTTAGTGAAACGTCCTTTTATCAAGCAGATGTGGAGAAGATGTAACCAGCTGTTTGTTGCCGATGTGCAGTAGCAGTTCGCAGAAGGCCTGCTGGTGCCTCTGTCTGTCTGTCTGTCTGTCTGTCTGTCTGTAGTTACCTGCTTTATTCCTCTGTGAAACTCCACAGAGTCCAGGTCTAACTCGAAGTACAGTTTGATGAGATACATGACGACTCTGCACCGTATCCATGTGATCGGGTCCGGGATGCCGACCACAGAGACACCGGGCTGACCGCCGGAGCTCCCCGGTTGAGAGCTGTACAGTCTGTGTGTCTGACCGGCGAACACGACCCTCCGCCCGCACTGCCTCCAGCCGTGCGCTCCGGAGTCCCCGCAGAAAGGACGCGCAGGACGCACACACACCTCCGCCCACCGCCGGGGCACGGCCGGCTCCTTGCTGCAGGTCCGGCCTCTCCTCCAGGCGCAGACCCCGGGTGAGGCCGCTGCGAGGCCGCCGAGCTCCCGGCATGCTGCGAGGCCGGAGATGCGCTGCATCACGGGCGAGGAGGACGCAGCGTTACAGGCGACGCTTTGAGCCACGGACCGGGGCTGAAACAGCCTCCACTGTCACGGTCGCACTTTGATAACCTTATGCAACTCACCCCCATGCTGTACCCATAATGCTTATCGTGCTCACGACGTACATACACACAGGGCTGCTGCCTTCAGGTGCTGTTGGAAATGCAGGAACAATCAGATGGAGCTGTTTATGTTGTTGTTATTGTCCACCTGTCAGGATGGTGGAGGTTGTTTGCTGCCTCTTGTTGTTTCTTATGAGTGTGTATTTTAATTATTAACTTTCATATTAATATTGTTTATTTAGCTGCTATCTGATTCGTTTTCTTTTGGGCCTCGTTGAAAGTTGGCAGTGAGAAACGAGGTGATGGGAGGAAGTGGAAGTGTGGAGGTCAGATGTTAAAGTGTAGATGTGTCATTATGCAACTAGGCTATCTACAGTGTGTAAGGGCTGGAATAAACACACAAAAATACAGATACTGTCCACATCCTGAAGATTACAGACATAGATCCCTGACAGATTTTATTTATATATGATACAATATTCAGAAACATTTCCATAAACCTGGAGACCACTGGATGTATCCGGATACTGGTCCTCTTCGTCCGGTGAACATAACTCTTATTCTACAACATATGATTGACTAACAGAACACGTAACCACATATTTATACCTTATATCTTATATGTTTTTAATCTGTCGCACACACTTTACATTTAAACTTTACTTACATGCTTCATGTGTCGTCTCTCGTTCATTCACAGCGAAACCAAACAAAAGCTTTTTAAAAGGACCACATATCTGCACTGATTAAGCGTTTTTCCAACCCTTCTTTATGATTGAGAAAAGGAAGCCGAAACTTACAAGGAGCACTTAAAGGCAACCAAAAAGTGTCCTTACTGCCTGGCTCCAGTAGAGGGAGACACAGATCCATTTATCCGCCTCATCCGCGTGTGTGCGCTCACAAAGTAACACAGAACTAGGGAAAACAAACTTCAAGTGCGACTGTGCGTGCATGTATTATTAACACAATAAAGGAGAACAACAAAAAAGCCAGAGAAATTGTCTACACACACACACACACACACACACAGAGAGAGAGAGAGAGAACCAGTTGTTCCTACGGGCCAGCAGTTTCCGCCCAGGCTTTGTTTTCTGCGCAGGTGCCCAAAATGATTGTGCGAAAATGTGAAATTTGATCAGCAGACCAAAACATCATTAAGTCCCCGCTGTTCTCGGTGATTACAGGTCAGCGCCGTTTTCCCGTCTCTCTCTCTCTCTTTCTCTTCTCCCTCCCTCCCTCCCTCCTCTGCGCACGCACGCACGCACGCTGCAGACACCTGCGCGCGGCCCCGCCCACCTGAAGTTCTCTCTCTCTCTCTCTCTCTCTCTCTCTGTCACTCTCCCCCCAAACTAATTTTATTTATCAATAATTAGCAGCGCAGCACTTGGTTATTTGAAATTGCGCTCAGACACGGAAACCTTTCCGGGATGTATCATAGTAATTATGTGTGTCAGTTGAGAATGCTTTTTACATCTGCGAGTCGGATGGAGCAGAATATTAACGACTCCACGATGGATGGGAGAGAGGAAATCTGCAGACACACACACAAGAGAGAGAGAGAGAGAGAGAGAGAGAGAGTAAAAGAAGAGTTACAGGTCCAGGTTGGCTGATTGTTTGCACTTTCTCTTAGCCCAGATGGGAGTGAGGAGAGGAGAAAGCAAATATAAAGAAGATGGAGTTTATATGTGAAAGTGGAGTTTAAGAAATGGTCAGAAAAGAGATAAAGTTTATAAATGATCTGGAGTTAAAAGACAAGAAGCGAGTAAGAGAGAAACTTCCAGGCTAATAGATGAAGTTTGAATCTTAGATAAAACTTCTATACATAAATATTACAAACACTTCCTTTAGTTAAAACCAGCCAGGTCCATTAGTGCCAGTCTGTCCACTGAGGTCCACTGAGGTCCACTGTGTGGGTTCTGGACATTTGGACAACCTGAGGAGGAGCTCACTTTCTTCAGTGTCCAAACAACGTCGGCACACTTTGTTTACAACTAAATCTGATATTCCTTTGTGGTAATATCTTTAAATGTGACTCTTTTTTTTTTTTTTTTTAGGTAAAGCTATTAAAATAAAACACAATTAAGGGATTTAGTGTTAAAGTTATATTCATGACAGGGTGGAAAATTCCTTCAAGTAGCATTTAGGGCCAAAATTAACCCCAAAATACATCTAAACACCTAATTAAATACATTATATTATATTTATTTTAAGGGTGTGGCACTGGGAGAAAATCAGATCCATGACCTCAGTGTTTCTGAAATCCTGCCTGCAGGCTGTGACCCACCGTACACACTCCTGCTGCGAGTGTCTTACACATCAATGTGATTCACTGTCATGGAGATGGTGTGTGTGTGTGTGTGTGTGTATGTGTGTGTGTGTGTGTGTGTGAGCTTGTAACGCTGCGTTCTGTGTCTTCAGCGTGGGCTCTTTCCTCTGCTGAGCCACTGAAAGGCACTGTTGTCCACAGCTGAGCTCCTCGGGTAGCGTCCCCTCCCCTGACAGGGATGTAGATGTCGTGTTGAACAAACCTCCAGAGTGTGTGTGTGTGAGGCAGGTCACCGGTGGAGCAGATGGGTTAAATATGGAGCGTGGTTTATCAATAATGATAAACTTCATCTATAAGACATGGGTGCTCTGGAATATCTAATCTTATATTTTACAGAGGCTTTAAAGTGCCTTTAATTATGATTCTGATGCCTGAAAACGAATATATATGTGACATTGGTGCTTTGGTGTTTGTTTGTTATTGGATAAAAGTTAAATGTCAACATAGTGGGGGGGCTGGGAATCCTTTGGGGGGGGGTGAAAGGAGAAATAAAGGGAACGTTTCAGCGCCACAAAATGATAACTGTATCTAAAAAAACTCCACATTTCACTTTATAGTGCATAATATTTAATGTATAACACCCTCAAAAATTCATATAATATAATATATGTAATACAGTAGGTGTCCGAGGCATGAACACTAACAATCCCACAATGCACTTGTATATGTGACAGTTACAGTTGTGTGACACCACATCTGCAACTGTCAGTGACGTCTGACGTCTCGATTTACTGCTCGCTATAAAGTAAACTGTGGAATTTAGGTACACTTCACTTTAATCTGTGTTTTTATTTCATGTAAATTATTGAGAGAAATGTGTCTTTTGTTGAACTCGACTCACAAGTAGACAGTCAGTTCTGTTTTTAGGGTCAGAAGCCACAAAAAGGTTGAGAAACATGGTGGTGACATATGATATGTCTTCATAAAATATATATAACACAAAACTTACTTCTGTATTTTCCCACAACTTGTGTCTCGCAACTTTACATATTTTTTTCAATTGTTCCACAGCGAGGAAATAATTGACTCAAAAGAGCAGATTTATGTTTTTTGTTTCCGTCTTTCTTCATTGTCGGGTTTATAAAATATAACTTGGTCAACTTTCTGCTGGGGAAGGACGGCGTGTTAAATCTTAAAAAGGTTGTTTTTGTGAATTTGAATTTAATCTGGGCTACAGGTATTGGATTTTGTGTCTGCTGGCAGGGAGCCACACACAATAGCAGGCACAGGTGTTGACCAGAAAAAAGAA